GATAAACAAAATGTGGTATATACACACAACGGAACACTATTCAGCCCTAAAAAGGAAGGACATTCCGACACTTGCTACAATATGGGTGAACCTGGAGGACATGATGCTAACTGAAATAAGCCAGTCACAAAAAGGCAAAGTATGTTTCTACTTAGATGAGTTCCTAGAGTAGTCAAATTTATAGGGACAGAAAGCAGAATGGTGGTTACCAGGGGTTAGGGAAGTGGGGAATGAGGAGTTCTTATTTAATGGGTTCAGAGTTTCAGTTTGGTAAGATGGAAAAGTTCTGAAGATGGATCGTCGCGTGGCAATGTAAATGTAGTTAAATATTGAACTGTACACTTAAAAATGGTTAAAATGGTAAATTTTATGTTGCGTGTATTTTGCCATAGTCAGAAGTAAGAAATGTATCTCTCAGTCCTCCCAGGCCTCCACGGAATGATGGAGTTGCTCAATATTAAATAGCTGGCCAGTATGGGGTCCTTTGGTCATTCCATGCATACACAGGGCCAGGCTGCAAACCAAACGTCACTCTTAGTGACTGCAGTGCTCAGCACCCAGCTTCAGTCTCTGAGTGCCCCTGGCTTGGGGGTTTGGAATTGGGAGGAATCCTGGTAGAAAAAACTGTGGGAATTATAAGCTACCCCATCACACACAAAAACAAATGAACTCCAAAAAAGAAGAGGGGATATTAGTGGAAGTTTCCAGTCCCACAGAAGTTACTAAAAGAAGAAACTAGGAGACGCCACTATGGGACACATCCCTCATCCTTACAGAGAAGGGGTTAATGCCTGTAGCATCTGGACCCATCCTATCAGGCTGGGATCCTGGCCCTGCCCCTTTCCAGATGCACGTGATTCTGGATGTGCCACTGAAACTCTCGGTGCCTTGTTTTTATTTGTAAGGAGATTAAAACCGTGCATGGCCCATAGTAGGTGGAGCATAAGTATTTGTTAAATAAGAGAAAATTTTCTTTATTTCGCCCTCATTACAATGCTGTGAGGACTGTACAGTTATGCTCCTCTGTAGAGGGAAACTGAGGCTTGCAGAGGTAAAGTGTCCTTTCTGAAGATGCGTCAGAGCTGAACATGGGCCCTTTGACTCTCTATCCCAGTTCTCGCCTTGTGTCTGTATCCCTCTCCCGCCTGTGTGGGTGGCCCTTCTCCTGAGGCCGGCAGTGGGTACGAGGTGGTCCAGGGAGCCTGGGTCGCGTGAACTATAACCACCTCACCAAGCAGCCTGCATGCTCTCACGCTTCTGCCCCAACACCACTAGAGAAAGCCCCTGGCTTTTTCAGTCAGAACAGAATCTGCTTGCGGTAAAAGCGAAGCCCTGGAAGCAGGCTGCATGAGTTCTTAAAACAAACACGAGTCCCGTTGGTGGAAAATCACTTTCTCCATCAACTCAGCTATATGGAGGCTGACCTCCCTGGCTTCACTAGTGCCCCACTTTGGGCCCATCTCACTGCCAATGTCTTCAGTCCTTGGAGGGTGCACAGGGCTGGGGAAAGAAGGGGGATCTCTGTGTGTTTTAAATCTAAGCAAGTGATTCATGCATATGGTACAAAATTCAATGGCACAGAAGGTATTCAGTGAAAACTGAGTCTGTCTCCCGCCTCAGCTCCCCACTGCCAAAGTTCTGGCCAGAGGCCCACACTGCGATTAGCTTCTTGTAAAAGGAAGGAAACCCCTAAATCAAATTGACTTGTTCGGTAGGAAGTTGGTTCAGATGGGCAACAGACAGCCCTGGGGCAAGCCCGTCTGTAAAGGATGATGGGCACCGAGGGACACAGGGAGGCAGCCGGAAAGGCCTTTCTGCATGGTGACTGTGTCAGCTGCAGAGTTGGGGGGAGGGTGGGTTGGTGTCTACCACTGTACCTCTTCCCTGGGCTGCTGCTCTCCTCTGCTAGTGTGAATGCCAGAAAGCAGTCACCTTTGGGTTTCTGGTAAGCCTTTTGTGATTGAGGCTGGGAGCCCATGGCCCGCCCCACAACTTCTTGTCATCAGGAAGAGCCCAGTTCCTTAATTCATGCACGGCAGGGTCAACACCTGTGCATGGTCCACACTGAAAAATAAGGATCAGCATCAGAGACCTTCTTCCATGCTCTCTGCCTCATCCTCTGTTCCTTTTTGTTCCTTTCCCTTCGCTGTCATTTCCATTCCCCACCCCCAATTGCCCACTAAACATGTACATGAATGGTGTCTGACTTCCTATGAGTTTATGATTTATGATTATTCATCTTATTAATTAAGTAGCTTTTCCAGGTAAAATATTAAGGCACCATTGCCATTATGACCTTGTCTTCCATGATCTCATTGGCAGCTGGTGTTGCCATGACAACTTGGCTAGAGGAACTGGTATGAGCTTCAGTGGAAGGCAATATGAACACGTGTGTGTGTGTGTGTGTGTGTGTGTGTGTATACAGATTTCTCATCATGTGTATCTGTTGCACAGGAAGCCATGGATTTCCACACCTCCTGCTTCTTCCAATTTGGTCAAAATTAGCCTCAGGGATCTAAATCAATTGGAAGGGAACTCTGGAGGATGATTTCTTTGTTTGGCTTTTTGAGTGGCAAATTGGAACCAGGAACACAGGAGAAATATTTCAGTGGCTTTCCACCCATGAGAAATGAAGCAACCCTACCCACTTTGACACTGCTCTTACAAGCACCCTGGGCCTAACTTATTTAACATCCATATATAATTTTCTTATTAGATGTACAGAAAGTTCGAGCTGAAAGGGGTCCTGGGTGTCAGTCTGGCCCTCTTTTTGTTCAGATGAGAAAAACTGAGGCCAAGAGGCTGTGACCTGCCCCCATTCTGTATGATGCACTGGGGAAGGTGTGGGCTCTGGAATCATACTACCTGGCCTCAAAGCTTGGCTCCACCATGTATTTACTGTGACCTCAGTCAAGCTATGTAGCCTCTCTCAGTTTGCTCATCTGTAAGATGGGGATAATAGCAAGAGTAACCATATGGGTCAGTGTGAGAATTTAGTGCTATAATCCACAATGCTTGGAACACTTTAAGCCTTCTATACATTTTATCACACGGGTCACACAGGGAGTAACTGGCAGAAATTGGACTACAGTGCAGCTCATCTGACTCCAGTTAAACGGAAACATTCTTCTGTGAACTCCATACTGTCCTTGGTTTCTTTGTGTGTGCGTGTTATCTGGCATCCAAGTGAGAGCGGAAGCTGATTTTGAGACAGGGGTTGGCTTTTCCTAAGACCTCCTCTGGAAGTGTATATAATGTATACGCTACCTTGTGGACGCTTGTTGATGTGAGTCTAACACTGGACACTGCATGCCCTCATGGAACACTTCTTGAATGTACACTGCATGGCTGTAAGTGTAGCGGAGAAAGGAATGAGAAGAAAACTTGAGGGAAATGAATGCTTCTGATCACTTCGTATGAAACTAAGCTCTTTATAATGAATGCTTTCATCATCACAACCACCCCATGAGCAAGTTGCTGGGCCGCTGGTCCAAGAGGCCCACGGTGCCCAATGGCGTGGCCAGCTCCCATTTTACACATTACACGTGAGCATCATTCCCATTTTACACATTAAAAACCAAGACTGAGGGTGTGTGCAGTATGCTCAGGTTCACCTGGCTAACGCGGAGAGCTGGGTTTCCAGCCAGACTTTTATTTCAAGGGGCCGCTGACACCCTCGAGAGACTTTGTGGTTCAAAACCATTTCTCACCCCGTCTCTGTGAGCCAAAAGCGTATTTCCTGAGGTGGTCAGAGAGATTCAGAGCCGACTGACACCTTCTCCATCACTGACACAAAGCGGAGTGTATACATCACAGCGTGTAGCCCTGGGGATCTAAAATATTTTCGCAGCCAAGTCGGACAGGCATTGACAGTCACACCAGGCTGGGTGGTTTCACAAAACGCCAGTTGTTTAAATTTCCTTTCATCACTCTGTCAGGAATAACACTAACGTAGTGGAACCTCAGAGTCCTGTTTAGAGGGGTGAGCTGTTCTGGGGAAATTTATTTCAAATGTCATTCTGAAGTAAAAACTTGCCTACTAAGGGTTGAGGGTGGACAGTGATCCTGTATCCTAGATAATGAGGCTATTAAAGCAGCCGGTCTCCGCTCAGCTTATGTAAGAGGGGCTCAGTCTCTGGGCGACTTGGGTAAACCAGCATAGAACTTAACAGGGTGACTAGGAGTGAGAGCAGCAGCAGGTCTCCATTTCTAATGTGGCGTTAAGGCTGGAGGTTAGATGTGCACTGGGGTGTCTGGGTTCTACATAACGGGGTTGGAATCGGGGGCGGGGGGATGACTAGTCCGAGATCTGGGTTCACGCAGCAACCGCACGTTTTTACCCACACCGGTTATTTGCGGTTGGGTGGAAGGAGGCTGATGAGGATTTGGGAGCGATCAAGGGGCTTTCCGTGGCAATGCATGAAGATGCAGAACCAGTGGCAAAGTCTGGGCCACGGAGACAATTCCTTCTCGGGTGGGAGCCCCAGCGCGGCCTCTTGCCTGTGTGTGGCCAATCTGACCGTGCTTGCTGGAGAGGGGAGATGTATGTGCTAGGGCACCGCACCTCCCGATACATGTAGGAACTTAGAGAACGACAGTTATTGCAATAACCCTTATGATAACACCAATTCGACGCAGAAAGCTTTTAAATATCATAAGCCTCGTCGTTTTATTCCACATGGTTTTCTAGGTAACCACATTCCAGGCGGTGCGTGGCAGGGCCATCCACGCCTCCTGGCCATGCCCAGCGGGAAGGTGTTCTCTCAACGTTGCTGACGCCGCATTTCAACCACGAGGAGACTGTGGACCTCGACTGCGGCTCCCCGCAGGAGCCGTCCGCCCTCACTCCACCTCTGGGGCTGGGGCGGAGTCGACGGGCCGGCTCTGAGACCCTCCGCCTTCCCCGCGGAGCAAGGCCCCGGAAGCCGCGGCTCTTACATAACCCGGACGATGTCAGGGCGGGCGACTCCCGGGAGGGCGGGACCAGGGCGGAGGCCGCGCCAGGGCGGGGGCGCCGGGAGCGCGGCGGGGCTCGGCGTGCGGCGCGCCCGGCATGTCCCTGTACCGCAGTGCCGTGTGGTTGGTCAAGGGGCTGCGCGAGTACACCAAGTAAGGCGGCGCGGCGGTGGGTTGGGGGCGGGGGCGGTGTCCCGGGCTGTCACGTGGCCCGCCGCGGCGGGGGCGAGCGGGGTTGGCGGGAACGCGCCCGCGGCCCCTTCGCCCGCTCGCTTGATGGACTAAGGGAGCCCCGAACTACTGGGGCGCCCGCCATCCAGCGGCCCGCGCCTGGGCGTGGGGCGGTCGCCAGTGTGCAGCCCCTCCGCGCTCGCGGCCGGGACTGGAGCTCGAGGGGCGGGACTGTGGCGCGCCCAGGCCCAGGCCCGTCCCACTGACGTCAGGCGGCCCCGGCGCCTCCGAGCCTCCTGGGCGTCCCCTCGGCGCCCCGCGGGGTGAGCTTCGGCTAGTGCCTTCGCGGTGCTGCTGGCGGCGTCAGCTGGGGCTGGATCTGAATCCCTAGCCAAGGGTCTGTCTTAGCAGCTTCTTCCTCTAAGAAGATGCGGCACCTGGACTGCGACCTCTGGCTCCATCTGGCACTTGCCAGCCTGCGTCCCCAGCCGGGGTGGCTCTGTACCCAGTGTGTGCTTCTGGGTAACGGTGCATGGTGGCTTCGCCGCCCCCTGACCACGCTCAGTGTGCCCTAATTGGCTCTCCACCTCATTGTGGTTTTTAGAGGTAGCAGGTTCCTGTGACAGAGGAGAGATGGAGGTTTTATCTTAGAATTGATTAGGCTAACCAGTGGCTCTCAACCCTGTCTGCCCATCAGAATCACGGGAGGATTAAACGTACCAGTTTTCTGAGCTAGAGAGGTTCTGAGATTCCTAGAGATTCTGATTCAGTGGGTCTGCACAGGGGCCGGGACGCATTTCGTCCAGATCCCCCAGGTGATTCTCATCTCTGAGGCTTCTTCCTGCATTGGGGCTTTTTCGGTTCCCACGGCAATCTGGCCAGCACGCCTAGGGGAGGTAGAAGTTGCAACTCCCTTCTCTTCACCCCACATCGTTTTGGGAAAAGTTCAGCTGGAGCCCCTGCTGCGGAGAATGCTGGGAAGGTGTAGCCGTGTGCCCTGTCCCACTGCTTTTAGGAGAATACAGGGTCGGCCTCTTTCTTTCAAAGGGTGTCCTCTGGCAATGACCATTCATTGCTGGATCTTTCCACATGACACAGCATGAAAGCTTGAGTCAGTTTCCAACCCGGCGTGGGCCCCAGGGAAGGCAAGCTGTAAAAATCTCTCCCAGGACTCTTTCGCTCTGATTGCCCCACCTTGAAGGGAAGGTGAGGCCAAGGGGCCCAATCCAACACAAATTGTGGGGGAGGGGAGGGGAAGGCGGTTGGCAAACTTAGGTGGGTTTTCCCCGCTGTTGTGAATTTAGTGACTGGGAGAGAAGAACAACAACGTTATTTTGACTTCAGTGTGCGAGCGAGGAGTTAGGGTTTGCAGCGTTTCTCTTGGCACAAGGATTTTTATAAAGCCTCCCTATTTTGGGTTCCTAGGCAGCAGGATCTAATCATTGTTTCCTAAACTTTGCTGAACCTAATAATTCCCTGGGGCAGTTGTAAACAGACTCCTAAACCCTGGGCATGTATAGATGGATCCTGAGCAAGTTCCATATTTGGGTAAATTGAGCTTCTGGAGACAGGGATACTTTTGAGCTTCCCCCCGCCCCCCCCAATCCCTGTCCCCTCAGGTTCAGGAAACAGTAAGTACAGACGTCCTCTCAGCTTGAATCAAAATCCCCTGGAAGGCATATGAAACCGCAGGTTGCGGAGCAAGCACTTCTGAGTCTGCCGGCAGGGCATCTCCAACAAGTTTCCAGGTGCTGCTGATGCAGCTTGTCTGGGCGCCGCCCTTTGGCCCCGAGGCTGGGTGTTGAAGAATGGAACACCCAGCCTTTGGTCTCATCTCCTACCTTCTGGTGACCTTGGGAAAATCATGTCTGTCTGTGTTTGAAGAATAGAGACCGATGATATCTAGAATTTGTGAAAATAAAATGCTTCCCCAATAAGGGGCAGAGTACATAAAAGACAAGTTTTACCACTAACAACAGATTGGACCAGGACGAATTCTTGTATGGAAGGCAAGACACCCGACAGAGGACGGAGGGCAGGGGCATGTCCTGCAGGCCAGGCCGGTGCTGCCCGCTTGGCAGCACTCCCAGCATGCAGTTTGAGGAAGAGGTTTAACCCAGAGAAGCCACCCTCAGCAAACATTTGTCTCTAATACGGATCAGTGTGGAGCCCAGAGGCTAATGTCCCCTTTGGCTGGGTGTCACAGAGAGAAGCCTGTCAGCTTCCTGCCCCTGGAGAAGGGCTCTGAAAGCCTGTTCCCTGTGGACTGCTTTTTCTCTGGCTCTATTGTATTTGGGAAGTTCTCACTCATTCCCCACAATGCCTCCTCCTAGCTAAGCCCCTATTCATTGACTCAGGCCCTTGCCTCTACCGGAAAAGCCTTTCACAGAGATTCCAGGGCTCACATCTGTGTATAGGGGGGAAAAACTTCCAGTTTCCTCTTTGTTTGTAGTTTAAAATGCTCAAAGTCCCTACTGATTTGAAGGCTTGGAGGCCAAATGAGCACAAGTTTGAACATGGAAGGTACTGTCATTATTAATAGTAGTAATAATGTTGGCCAGGTGCAGTGGCTCGTGCCTGTAATCTCAACACTTTGGGAGGCCGAGGCAGGCAGATCACCTGAGGTCAGGTGTTTGAGACCAGTTTGGCCAACATGGTAAAACCCTGTCTCTATTAAAAATACAAAAATTAGCCGAGTGTGGTGGCGGGTGCTTGTAATCCCAGCTACTCAGGAGGCTGAGGCAGGAGAATCACTCTAACTGGGGAGGCAGAGGTTGCAGAGAGCTGAGATCGCACCACTGCACTCCAGCCTAGGTGACAGAGAGAGACTCCATCTCAATAATAATAATAATAATAATAATAATGTCAACTGCTAATTATTGAGCTCCTAATATGTTCCAAGTACTGTCATAAATGCTGCCCAAGAGGTATCTCTTATTATTCCCTATCTGCAGATGAGGAGATATGAGCCCAGAAACGTTAAGCCAACACACAAGATTGCACAGCTAGTAAGAGGCTGAACTGTGACAAACGCAGGTTGTTCAAGCCTTTGTTATTAATATTTTTTAGTTTCAAGTCAACCTTTCAGGAAGGCTTTGGAATAAGAAATCTTGCTTGCCACTCACAGCAGAAGCAATGGGTAGGGTGTTGACCTCATGATCTCTTGACCTCATGATCCACCTGCCTTGGCCTCCCAAAGTGCTGGGATTGCAGACGTGAGCCACCACGCCCGGCCATGGGTAGGGTGTTCTCTAAGCTGCCTGGCATGTTCCGGTGAGTTACAGATGGTGCAAACGGGAACATTTTTCTTGTTCTCTTAAGAACATCTGAGTTTACTGAAACAAGTGGCAATGCCTGCCCTGTGGCAGTGACTTTCAAACCAAAACCCAAGCTCATAAACGTCCTTTGGCCTCTTCCCCGAGTGTCCAGGGCATGTAACTGGCAGTTGTGCTGCACCAGGGCATGGAGCAGGAAGCCAGCTGTTGGCTATCCATTTGTGACTAGGTCCTGTGGGAGGGCTCTCGGCCTCTGTGGAGCCTTGAGATTACAGTCCCATTCTGCACTACTGGGGAGAAATCTCTTGGCTCTGGGGTAGAGATGCAAGCTGTGAGACGCCAGCCTGCCTGTGTGTGGGCATAGTCTGCCCTCTGGGCCTCCTGCTGCCAACCCCACCCTTCTACCACCACTGCCTTTAGCCAATTCATAGCCAGGAAATACTAGGAGAGTAAAGGTAGAGAGGTATTTCCAAAGGAATGAGAGAGAGAGAAACGGTTAAGGAACTCATGGTTGCATAAATCCAGTATGATGCCTTCGTGCAAATCAGAGAACGTACCTCTTCTGCAATACGCTTTTCTATCACCTGCCAGAACGTTATCATAATGCAGTTACAAATCTCCTATCATTGTGATCCAAATGGCACTCCCTAGTGCTATGCAGTGCACACCCTGTGTCCCTGAAGGAGCCTTGGCTTCCTCTGCTGGGTGCAGAGCTTAAATGACTCTACCTTCCTCCTCCTTCATCCCCTGCTTGCAAATCTCTCCATCTCTCCAAGTAGACAAGGAAGGCTATCTGTCCTGCAATGCAATAAGCGCAATGCAAATGGTCTCCTAAGCTTCCCAAAACCTGCCCCTCACAAAAGGGAAAAGAGCAATTCATCTGTCAAAGGATTTTTTTTCTTTTTGCCACTCCCCAGTATCGGGGCAGTCAGAGGAAGACAATTTGGATGCCAAAGTGTTGGAATCTCCAATATTTTCAAAAGTTTGGGAAGCTAATGGCCCAGGAAATGCAGGCCCTGAGATGGTGATGGTCGTGAGACCAGGGAGAGTGAGCGAGAAAGGAGTTTCATGATGTTCTGGGAGAGGCAGAGACAGCAATAATGCCCATCCTAGAATTCGGCTTTCTTCTGCAGGGGTTTGTGTTCCTCACTCCTTACAGCTGGTCTTCTTGCCGGTCTGCTGTTTCTAGGAGTGGCTATGAATCTGCATCTAAGGACTTTGTCCCTAATGACTTGGAGGTCCAGGTTCCTGGAAGAGTCTTTTTGGTCACTGGAGGAAACAGCGGCATTGGCAAAGCAACTGCCCTTGAAATAGCCAAGCGAGGTGAGCGGCTGCTAACACGTGTCCACTGAGCCCCGCTGTCAGACTGTGGCTGGTCCACCACTGAGGAGGGCACCCTGTGTCACAGGCAGGTCAGGAAGTCCTGGATGGCGATCCCGTGGTTCTGGGCACAGGTGCCAGCTTTCTGAGCCTTGAGCTAGAGGGGGCTAGAGGAACAGGAGCCCTTTCCTCAACACTTAATTAATTCACGAGAGAGCTCGGGTTCTGCGCACGTGTACCGGTGTTTTCTGATTAAGAACAGTGAGGGGCTCAAACAAACCCTGAACATCAGAATCCCCAGTGGAATTTAATTTAAAAAAAAAAAAAAAACACCTGGTCTCTAACTCTTGTCTTCTCAATGAGACTCCCTGGGGATGGAGACGGGAGGGGGAGCCTGGGAGTCCACCACAATTTGGATGTGGATGGTAGTTACGAACCAATGCCCCCAAAATACCTGGAGAGAGGAGTGGGTGGAACTAACTTCCTCCTTGCTGGTGTCCAGCCTCCAGGGCTGGAGCAGCCTCCTGCTTCCCTCCCCTAACTTTGATGATAAAGAGGCGCCGCAGGTGCCTGTAAAGTCTTCAGTCAGCAGAAGTCTTCCTCATGGGTGAATGCCAGAATTTCCTGCACGAGCTCAACTATCCTGGGTCACCAGTTGGCTCTGCAGTGGCTAGAAAATTTTCCTGCAGCTCTCCAGAGCCTCTTCTGGAAAATTGGATGTTCCAGCAGAAGGTGGGGAACTAGGTTGTGAATTTATCACTTTTTAAGATGCTGAAGATGTCTTCTTTTTTTCCTTTCTCTAAATCCAAGTTAGGCGTTTTTCAGGGGACTATTATATCATTTGAAGCTTTATTTAATTATCTGCCAAGTCAGGGAGAGGATTAAGTATGTCTTAGCAGCTGGGAACAACTGAAGTGTGGAGAGGAGGGGAGAGGACAGGGGCTAGTGGTGTGGTTAGCCTGTAGCCTCCAGTGAAACAGACCCCATTTAATCAAGGGGGTGATTTTTAGTAGAGAAGGCAGACTCCATAATGATTCCTTCTTAGCTGCCATGACGAAGATGTTCTGCTTTAAGTTGACCTTGATTGATGATGATGTGGCATTTGCTGGGATAATATGAGGGCTGCTGATGGATTCAACATTCAGTCTATACTTGAGTCTCTACTACATGCTAGGCCAGTGATCTTCTACTTTGCCTGAACATTATATCACCAGGGAGCCTGTAAAACATACTCAGACCTGGGCCATTGCCTGGATCTTTAAAAGCTCCCTACGTGAGTCTAAAGTGCAGCCAGGTTTGAGATCTCCATGCCAGCTACCATGCTAGACGCTAGGGAGGCAGACGTGACCTGGATCAATGTTTCTTATCCTTGATGTGTTCAGGCCCTTAAAAAATTGGGATGTTCTCCCAGAAGCACTGTCAGCGCAGATAGGCAAGAAGGTTCCGGTACCTCCCTCAGGATCGCCTTCGCTGCTCTAACTGTGGGAACCATCCATCTAGGTTTAACAGAAGGGTGTCAGTTGCAGGTATTCTTTTTGTGAGCCCCTATGTCTTGATTTTTCATTTGGAAGAGCTGGTTTCTGTAGCGCTCGCTGTAACTCACAGATGGTTTCACTGAATTCCACCAGGTGGCACAGTTCACCTCGTTTGTCGAGATCAAACCCGAGCAGAAGATGCCAGGAGTGAGATCATCCGGGAGAGCGACAACCAGGTGAGCAGCTCCTCACCCCTCCTGCTGGGTTTCCTCGCCTCCATGGTCAGCTGTGAGGAGGCTGAACTCCTGCCCGTGTTCCCTGAGTTGGCGACGGCTCGTGCTTGTGCTTCTGCTTTCGAAGCAGCCTCAGCCAGCAGAGAGCTGCGCCCTGCTTTTGAATGGCTAGGTGTGACCCAGGGGATAAGTGGGGCGCTCAGGCTCAACTGCACAGCTCTGGGCTGTCTGTGAAACCAGCAGAGTCCAGTAGGCAGGGGCCCCGTTATGCTGGACAATGATAGTGCCAGGCTTCTCACCTCAGAGGGAGCCCACACCAGCAACAGTAGCAAGGGTCACCTGTGTGCTGCAGAGCCCCGCATTGACCCTGTGCCTTCTAATAAAGAGAAACCGCCGAGAGCATTTGGGTCCTGATGAGAGCTACTTTCTGACACAAGCTTTCAGAGCTGCCTCACGTTTTGTGGTCTTTCTCTTCTGAGAGAGCTGGAACCAGGACTGGCTCGTGGGGCTCAGTGCAGAATGAAAATGCAAGACCCTTGTGTAAAAGTTATTTAGGAATTTCAACACAACCAAGGTGGAACTTTAAACCAAGATTGAGGCCTGATTGCAGGGCCTGTGCATCTGTATAGATCGTATTCCTGTGATACACTGTGCAGCCATGAGGCTGGCCCTGGATGGAAAACCTTGACCCCTGCCACCAAGTGGAGAGAAAGGACCCTCAGTCACCATAGCTGCTCGCTCACTGTCACTAAGGAACATCCTCATTCCATTCCCATCTCTTCCCTGGGAGACCCCACAGTTGGAAGGCTTGTAGGAGGAGCTGGGGAGGGACAGACAGTACCCCTCCTCAGGCATGGACCTTGGCCAAAGAGAAGAATGTCCCCATCTAGGATGGAGTATTTTGCATCAGCTTTGAGATAACATTTTCACACCAAGTGCCTGTTCCTTTCCCCTGCTCATGGAAATCCCCAGTCTCATGCCATCAGGTGCCTTCCAGAGGCTTCGTGCCGGCAGTGAGCGTGAGGGTCTCTAAATCTCCCTCTAATGTCTGCAAGTGCCGCTGTGATCGGTGGGCTGCAGTTCTCGAGACTGAAAGCTGGCTGGCTGCCTGCTGATAACTTTCAGTGGTGCTGCTGCAGGATGCAGCAAGAATACAAATCTCAGGCCGCCGGCAGGAGGAGGTTTGCCTGGATTCCTGCCTGCTGTGGTGTGGGCCACAGGCTTTAAAAAGTGTATTTAAATGGAAAACGATGATAGTATGGATCTGTTTGTAATATCCAGCCAGGCTTATATCCAATGCCACCATCTTTAGGAGGGGTAAAGAGCTGAAAAGGGGAGCGAGCATGTTCCTGGACTGGGGAGGAAACAGGCCCTTGCCTACTGCCCCCCTCACCTCCATGCAGATGCGCTCGGTGGGATTTGAATGCACACGCAGTCACTGCTCTCTTGGGTTTATAAGTGGCCTCCAGCACTCAGAGGTGGAGCGTGTGGGATGAGAGTCCCAGGCTGCCTATGCCAGTGCCTGTGGCTTCTCTGACTCAGTGTGTCCTCCAAGCTCTGCCAGGGATCAGCTGCCTCTCCATGCTTATGAAGAGGCCCCACTCCACAGCCTCATCTGGTTTACCATTGGTAGGCAGCCCCCGCACAATATCATGGTACGCAGGAGGAAGTTGAGCTCTGATAGGAGTCTTGGTTTTGCCCTTCCTGCCCTGTGAGCTTGGGCAATGTTCTTAGCTTCCCAGAACCTTCCTTTCCTCATTGAAAAACAGGGGTAACTTGACTTTATTGGTTTTTAATGTGTATTTAAGGGTGAACTGTATGCCAAGCAGCATGCTGGGAGCTGGAGACACAGGTGATTGGGACAGACACAGCTCCTGACAGTCTTATGCAGGATAAAAGTGATTAACAAGCAGTTTCTTTGAAGTGTGTGTGCCTGCCCTGGGCCTGGCTGCTGTGCTGTGTATCATAGTACAATGGGTTGGAGGACAAATCATATGAACCCCAAGGTATGTGTTTCTTCAATTCCTACAGCCAGATAGCTTTTGGCAGGGTTTGACCAATGGCAGGAATTAGAGGAAGATTGGCAGGTGGAAGGAAGGTGGGGAATTGAGATATTAGCTTCCCTTGTGACGGCTGAATCTCCTTTCTGGTTCTTCCTTCTGGTTCCTGGGCTCAGGCCACGCTGCATTCCCCCTTTGTTCCGTGAGCCTAGGGCTGGTGGTAGTTTCCTGCTGTTACTAATCTCTGGGTTACTTCACCAATCCTGGCTGAGTTCTCATCTTCCTTAATCACCTGGGAAATTAATCCCTGCATTCAATTCCCTCTGTTGAAAGAGGTGTCTGTCAGACGTTACTGAAATAACAAAGTGCTACAAGATGGGACGCTCAGGGTGTCCTAAGAATAAACAGCTCTCAATCAGTAGAAGCAGCTACTATAATTATTGTTGGTATTATCAGTCTTGTGTATGCTAATATTATTACCACTCCCAACCTTTCATTCCTTGCTTCAAGTTTGTTCTGTTGAATCAGTGCTTGGGCCTTGCTCAGTGGGAGGTGGAAGCCTGCAGGCCCCCAGAAGCAGACGAGATGTGTGGTAGGGCAGTAAGGGCCCTGGAGCAGCTGGTCCTGCCTGCATAGTTGGGTGAACATCAAAGAAAGAGGATCCCTCGGGCAGGAGGGTCTGGGTGAGGTGTGCAGCAGACCAGCTGAGCCAGGGAGCGCAGGCACCAGGTAAGACTCAGTGTCACGAGGGAATCTCAGCTGCTTGTGCATGCTGGCTTGGTAAGATCAGGCATTTGGTCTTATAGGGAGGTGAATATCATGCCGAGGTGATGTTTGCAGAGAAGTTATGTGTGGCCTAAGCTTGGGGGAAGGAGTGCTGGTTACTGTAGAGCAGCCTCCCAGCTCACCAGTCCACCGGACACGATCCTCCCAAAGGGCCTGGGGGAGAAACAGCGTGGACGTTTCTTCCCAGGCTTCTGGTCGCAGTTCAGCCCCACCTTACTTCCTGGCTCCAGACTTTTGTCTAGCAGTTACCCTCATGGGCAATATTTTAAAAAAAACAGTTCTATTTTATTTATTATTTTTTGAGATAGGCTCTCATTCTGTTGCCCAGGCTGGAGTGCAGTGGTATGTTCAAAGCTGGCTGCAGCCTCAAACTTCTGGACTCAAATCTTGTTCTGCCTCGGCCTCCCAAATAGGTAGAACTGTAGGCACATGCCACCACACCCAGCTGGTTTTACTTTATTTTTTTGTTGAGTTGAGGTATTGCTATGTTGTCCAGGCTGGTCTTGAACTCCTGTGTTCAAAGAGTCCCCCCACCTCAGCCTCCCAAAGTGCTGGGATTACAGGTGTGAGCTGCCACACTTGGCCAACCTTTTATTTTAGAATGGTTTTAGATGCACAGAAAACTTGTGAAAATAGTACAGAGATTCCCATTTGTCCCTAACCAGTTTCTTCTTTGTTAACATCCTGCGTTAGTGTGATTCATTTGCCACAACTACTAAACCAATATTTATGCAATATTAAAATAAGTTGACTTTATACTTTGAGATTTCCTTCATTTTCTCCCTAATTTTCTGTTTTTATTTCCTGATCCCACAGGACATTACATGTCTCTTTAGGCTCCTCTTGGCCGTGACAGTTTCTCACACTTCCCAGTTTTTAATGATGACAGTTTTGAGGAGTACTGGTCAGGTGTTTGTGGAATGCCCCTCGTTTGGGATTTGTCCGATGTCTTTCTCATGATTACACTGGAGTCGTGGGTTTTAGAGGGAAAGATCACAGAGGTACAGGTGCCTGGGCGACGTTTTCAGTCCTGCAGGTCTCCTGATGTGGCTGGAAGGCTCTGTGAAAGCACTTAGGTCTTGTGGGGGATTGACTCCACCAACATAACACGCTGTGATAAAAAATGGGTTTCTACTCTCCAGCTCCTCCAGGCCAGTGCAGATTTCTAGCTTCTTGAGAATGGCTGGTTTGGCTTTCCAAGACCTCAGTGTTTTTATGAAATCCTGCCTCGTTTCCCCAGAATGACTTCTACTTAACAAAGCACCTCCATGCACGGTTTACCGTGTTGGTTGCGGGAACTGCTTTGACAGCAGATCAGTCCCCATGATGTCACCTCATGACTCCTGGGTCACACAGCCACTGTAGATGGTGGCTCGTCTGCAGAGAGGATCCCAGTTGAGTTTTATTTTGTTCAATTTCGGTAACCACACTTGTATCACAGTTGGGGCCCAGTGGCTCCTAGGGTGAGCCTTTCCACTGTGTGGCTCTGCAGATTGGGACTTTTACACACATTCACTTGTTCCCAGTTCCTTCTCCTGGCCACAGCAGACTGCTGGCCTCGGCCTCTGTGTGCTTTGTGGCCTCCTGTTTCACCTCAGAGGAACACAGATGGTTTTCTTCCTCTTTTCATGGTGCTTCATGTCACCAGCTCCATGGCTGATTTGTCTAGGACAGTGTGATTCTCTCTTCCCTGCTGCTATCTCCTTTTCACTCTGAGACATCTCAGGCACTTCCAGGAAGCTCAGAGAACATGTGGAATGTTTAAAGCAGAATTGGTTTTAGTTCACTTGAATTTTGTTGCTGTTTAAACTTGAATTCAGTATACATGTTACACAGCACTTTTTGGTAGGAGGGAGTTTAGGGTGGTTGCAGGGAAGGCCTCAACATGGTAGGATTAGGTGTCTAGACTCAGTTTGCAGTCATTGGTACAGGCTCCCGGCTGACTCAGGTATGACTCAGCAGCCTTGTTCACTCTGGCTGGGTAAGGGCCTTCACAGACATTTTAGAAGAGAATAGTTCTGTATGGACAACATTTTTCCTGTCCTTTGAAGGCAGAGGAATATTCAGTTGGGCCTGGCCTAAGCCAAATGTGGTGTTCAACCTGACCAGACTTTCTGAGTCATTAAAATGTGGAGTTGCTTCTGTTTTCTCATTTGTCACAGGTGAGAAAACAGTATGTTTGAAGATCAGTAGAAAGAAATTCTGACTACAGCTTTGGGTTTTATAGCTCCATTAGTGGGGAAACTGAGGAGCTGTGGCTCTTGCGCAGATCCTTGTCTGTAGGTTCAGTCCTTGGGCTTGGGTGCCTGCAGCAGCAGGAATCTCTGCCTTGGGTTACTGATAAGTCACATATGTCCACTGATACTCAGAGAGGATGCCATTGCATTCACTGGATGCTAACAGTGCAAGTTTGGACATAGGTACTGGGTACAGAGAAAAAGGTTTAGACAGCCAGGATCCATTGGTCAAATACCATGCATATGACTGTGTGTAATACCATAAGGAGAAAGGGCGCATTAGACAGGGTCCCTTACGGAGTTCTAAGTCTCCTGGGGATGCGGCTGTGTCTAGTGGTAACCATGATACAAGGCAGAGATTGAAAAGCGTCATGAGCAGGGACTAAGGGTCACAGCAGAAGTTGTCATCTTATTTATGATGTGCCTAAGATAATGTCTTAAGAGCAAAGTTCTGACAAAAAATGATCGGCAGCAGGAAACTGACATATCCATCTAAAGGTATGTTATGTAGTCATTAAAAGGAATAGGGTAGATTCATGTATAACAAAATTATCTCCAAGACCTTTTGTACGTCCTGGAACTCAGCAGCAAAACAAACAACAACATAACTAATAACCCAATTTTAAATGGTTTAAGAACTTGAATAGACATTTCTCCAAAGAAGATATACAAATGGCCAACAGGAGCTGGGCAAGGTGACTCATGCCTGTAATCCCAGCACTTTGGGAGACCGAGGCGGGCAGATCACTTGAGGTCAGGAGTTAAAATTTTTAGCCTGGCCAACATGGTGCAATGCTGTTTCTCCTAAAAATAAAAAAATTAGCCGAGCATGATGGCACACACCTCTAGTCCCAGCTACTCGGGAGGCTGAGGCTAGAGAATCGCTTGAACCTGGGAGGCAGAGAGGTTGCAGTGAGCCAAAATCATGCCACTGCATGCCAGCCTGGGCAACAGAGTGAGAATCCATCTCAAGGAACAAAACAATAAATGGCCAACACATACATGAAAAAATAATGTCAGTAGTCATCAGGGAAATGCAAATCAAAACCAGAGCGAAATACCACCTCACACCTCTCAGGATGGCTATTGTTAAAAAAACAAAAGACAAAAAGTGTTTGTGAGGTTGTGGAGAAATTGGAACCCTTGCATACCGCTTGTAGGAATGCAAACTGGTGCAGCCACTATGGAAAACAGTATGGAGGCTCCTCACAAAATTCAAAATAGAGCTCCCATCTGACCCAGCAATTGCTTTTCTGGGTACTCACCCAAGGGAATTGAAAGCAGGATCCTGAAGAGCCATTAGCACTGCCACACCCATTGCAGTAGCATTCACAGTAGCCAAGGTGTGGAAACAGCGTAAATGTCCATTGACAGATGAATGGATAAAGAAAATGTGGTACAGACATACACACATTGGAATATTGTTCAGCCTTAAAGGGAGAGAAATCCTGCGATGACGTGGATGAATCTGGAGGACCCAACCTAAGTTAAATAAGCCAGGTACAGAAAGACAGAGAGTGTCCGACTTCACTTATGTGAGGTAACTGTAGTACTCCGAATTCATAGAACCAAAGAGTGGAATGGTGGTTCTAGAGGCTGGGGCAAAGGGAAAATGTGGAGTCACTATCAGAGGGCACAAAGTATCTGGCAAGGTGAATATACTCTAGAGGTGTGCTGTGCTACATCTACCTAGTCGGCATGTGAGAAATTTTGTTAAGAGGGTAGATCTCATATTAAGTATTCTTATCATAATAAAATTTAAAAAGTAGGCAGGGCACAGTGGCTCACACCTGTAATCCCAGCCCTTTGGGAGAGCGAGGTGGGTGGATTATGAGGTCAGGAGTTCGACAGAAGCATGGCCAACATGGTGAAACCTCATCTGTACTAAAAATACAAAAAATTAGTTGGGCGTGGTGGCGTGTGCCTGTAATTCCAGCTACTTGGGAGGCTGAGGCAGGAGAATCGCTTGAACACAGGAGGCAGAGATTGCGGTGAGCTGAGATCATGTTGCACTCTAGCCTGGGAGACAGAGCAAGACTCCATCTTGGAAAAAGAAAAAAAAGTAAAATGTGTTTTTACCACCATAAACTAAAAGACATATTACGTGAAAGAGATAGAGGTAGAAGAATGCATAGTCTGATCCTATTTGTGTGTGTGTGTGTGTGTGTGTGTGTGTGTGTGTGTGTGTGTGTGTATGCATGTATGTATATTCATCTTAAAGATATGTATTGTATATATAGTGTATGCTTAAAATATTTCTGGATGATTTACAAAAAACTGAACAATGGTTTATTTTTGAGGAGTTGGATTGGTATTTTCTGTTTTATATCATTTCAAAGTATTTGCTTTTTAAAAACCATGTACTTTTAAAAGTAAAAGTGCTAGTTCATATCTTTTTAAAACGGGTTTATATATTTTTTGCTTTCTAATTTAGAACATTTTTCTGCACATCGTGGACTTGTCTGATCCCAAGCAAATCTGGAAATTTGTTGAAAAATTCAAGCAGGAACATAAACTCAATGTTCTGGTGAGCTTTGTAAACATAAGTGGAGAATAAACTGTTGGCACATTTTTTTAGTCTGTGTGGATGTGGACGAATATGTATGTTCACGTGTCTTTATGGAAGAATCTTAGTAAGACTGTCTTATGCTTGGACCTGTTCATGTAATCAGATTTACTCACTGGATCTGAGAGGAGACCAATGTGGTTAGATTAGTAGGGGAAGGAAGGGGACATCCACTGAGTATTGTGGGAGGATAGAGATGTTCCATTTTTTATAAAATGATTTGTATATAAATATTTCTTGGTTCTGTAGATTTGGGGATTGGTGTATTGAAATTAGAAGCTCTTTTAGTCCAAAAGAATACCGACTGTCGGCATGCAAATCTTTTAGTAGCATAATCACCACAAAACTCCGTGGGGACCCTGGGTGGTCTCAGATAGAAAGGTGCCCGTGTGCTCTTCCCAGATGCTCCGCTTTGAGCTAAGTTGCTTTTCTATCCAAAGAGTCTCTGATGTGCTCTAAAATGTTGTCCCAGAGTCTGGAATTGTGCTCTCCAGTGTGGCTGTGAAGCATCTGAAATGTTGCTAGTCCAAACTGAGATGTGCTGTAAGTGTAAAAACTAGCAGGTTTCAAAGCCTTAAAAAAAAAACCTATGTATTCCATCTCATTAATATTCTGTATGGATTACATATTAAAATGATGCTATTTTGGATATATTTCGTTAAATATATTAAATTAGTTTTACCTTTTTCTTGATACCTTTTTAATGTGGCTACTAGAAAACTTAAGATTAGACACTCTGATAGGACAGCTGTGGACTAGATGAATTTCCAGAGCACCCTCTCGCGAATTAGGTTGCCTGGCCAAGCCCTCTCACTCGGTGGTCTTTGCATAGTTCTGTGGCTGAGTCCTCTGCGCAAGTGGTATTTTCCTGTAAGGGGTTTGGAATGAAGAATGAGTTGAGCAAATTGTCATTGTCACTTGAATGTTGAGAAAGAGCTGGTGGTGGGGTGGTAGAGGTGTGGGGTTGGAAATAGGTCTTTTGGCCCTATTTTTCTTTATTTTTAAATGGGAACTATAATTTTTAGATCAATAATGCAGGTTGCATGATCAATAAAAGAGAACTCACAGAAGATGGACTTGAAAAAAACTTCGCTACCAATACTCTGGGTAAGTACAAGAAGTTTTCTTATTTGTTTTTAGGAAAATAAACATAGAATATACCGTAGAAGGATAAAAAAGAAAAAAACAACATTGATCAAGTTTTTGGGTTCTGGGTCCTGGGCCTGATGACATTTGCTTTAAGTTTATCCTGAATCGTATTTATTTTTCTTCATAAAACACTTTCTCTTTTCATGTTTCTTATAATGGGTGTTGGTGCCAGAAATTCTTAGTATTGAAGTGTTTATTTCCTAGGAAGCTCAAGGCTCTTTATAGATATTATTTTGAAGAGGAGAGCAAGTTCAGCTTAAGTGTTGACTGTAAATATAAAAACTGCAGCCAAGGGAACTTCCAGCCAGGGCTGAGGAAGGCGCATCCAATGGGCAAGAAGATGAACTGAGAAGGGTACTGGCTAGAGCACAGATACCTGGGCCCTGGTTGCTACTCTGTAATAACAGAGTAAAGTCGTTGTATACCAGGCCAGTGGCTCTCAAGGTGGGATTCCCAGACCAGCAGCATCAGCATCACCTGGGAACTTGGTAGACAGGCACATTCTTAGATTCCCCACCCAGATCTACAGAATCTGAAACTCTGGAATGAGGCTAAGAGTTTAAATCCATTTTGACAGGCCTTCCAGATGATTCTGATGCACACTAAAAATTGAGAACTGACGTACCATGCTGTTAGTCTCCTTGGATTTTCTCCTTGAGCCAAGGGGTCTGGAGTAGATGATCTTGTTGCCTTTCAGTTTTGAGATGCAGTGAATCTAAGACTCTTCCCAGGACCTATCCTACTTCTTTGTAGTGAGGGGAGTGTTTTAATTAAGTACTGTTCTCGGTCGCAAGATGGATGGCAGGGGTTTGGGTGGGTGTTGGAGTCACTGGGGATATCCACTATATAGCAACCCTGTTCCCAACCAAGAACTGAGCAAATTGAGGAATGAGCCGATGGAATAACAGTTGAAAGCCAGTATATCACTGTTACTGACAAGGCTGGTTGAAAGGCATGGCTCAGTGCAAGAGCCAAATGGGTTTCCTCATATGGAACCCAAGAATTAGAAGGATTCATCTACCTGGTCACCTGCTCTTCTTTCTGGGGAAGAAGAGCAGGACTCCTCCCAGAAAGAAGAGAAAGGGAGGAAGAGAACTGAGCAAGCCCCACTCATTGTCCCCAAATTTACTGTTGTTGTTGTTGCTGTTGTTGTTGTTGTTGTTTTGAGACAGGATCTTGGTCTGTTTCCATGGCTAGAGTGCAGTGATGTGATCATGGCTCACTGCAGCCTCAAACTCTTGGGCTCAAGCAGTCCTCCCACCTCAGCCTCCCAAGTTGCTAGGACTACAGGCATGTACCACTATGCCTAATTTTTTTAATTAAAAATTTTTGTTGTTGTTGTGAAGGTGGCTCTCATTGTGTCGCCCAGGCTGGTCTCAAACTCCTGGCCTCTAGTGATCCTCCTGCCTCAGCCTCCCAAAGTGTTGGGATTACAGGTGTGAGTCAGTGCGCCCAGCCTAAATTTACTGTTGAAATGTGCTCCACTTCCCTGGCAGATGGAAGAAGGTCTCAGGGAGAAAGGACTCACCCTAATTGCACTCTCTTATCAAGGAAAGAAAGACTAGGAGTGGGAAGATGCTTTCTCCCCAGTGATGAAGTTGCATTTTTTAAAAGAAATACCTGGAAGCATGTATGAAATGACACGTTTAGTACAAAATATTTTCATCACTGACTTTGTTCCACATGTGGTATGCTTGCCGAAATTACCAAATATACCAAAATGTGGGGTCATGCTAGAGTTTTTTTTTGGCTCACAACTCGATGGGACAGCTGAGACTCCCAGAGTGCCACAGCTGGCCCCTCAGGTGCTATTTGGCAGAACTGGTTACATAATTTGCAGAGCCCAGCACCAAATGGAAACGTGAGGTTCCATGTTCAAAAATTAAGGATTTCAATGCAGCAACAATAGAGCATTAAACCATGCAGGGTCCTTCCGAGTGCTGGGCTTTGTGTGACCTTGCAGGATGAAGCCAGCTCTTTCGCTCACCCATCTGCCCACCGTCTGACAAAATTCTGCCAAGTGTTTACTGCCGGGGCGTGAGTGAGAGTTGTGTACACGTGCGCGCGGGCATGCACACACACACACACACACACACACTCTCTCTCTCTCTCTCTCTCTCTCTCTCTCTTTCATTTAGTGCTATGATGGAAGTATTCCTACATTACAGATAAGGAAACTGAGGCTGAGAGAGATTGTTTCACTTGCCCAAGGTCAAGTGGAGAAGCCAGAGTGTGAACCTTGGTCTGACTTCCACCACAGCCCATGTTCATCACCAGTGCACAGTTCCACCCACCCCAGCATGTCCTCCCTCACCCCATCATTGTGTTATCCTAAATAAGTGCTAAAGAGTACTGGGAGTGGATGATCAGCTGAGCCAGGGGAGGCTGGGGCTGGGGGCACTTCTCAGAGAAGCCCAAAGGTTTTGGAAGGTGAAAAGGAAGGTAATCTGAGGAACTTGACCTTGCTTGGGAACATAGACAGGCTTGATAGACTGTAAAGGGACTGTCTGTTTGATTATGCAGCTGATTATGTTGCACCTTTGTAAGAATCCAGCCTGCGTCTAAAGACCTTGCTATCTCTCCATTTTCATTTCCTATTTGTGTTAGAAGCATCTTATTGATCATTCCAACCTCTTCTCAGGCTTGGATATTTATTCATCTCTCAAGCGAAAGAAATAGTACAATACACAAAGAGGCATGCCAGCACAGAGGGGGCAGCTCCATGGGTCTTTGCTTGAGAGATGAGGAGATACAGAGAGGTTAAAGTGCCATGATTCCTCAGCAGAACCAGGCCAGACAAAAAGCCCGGACCTCTGTCTGAGTCCTGGGAAATTGCTGGCTGCCTTTCTAATATGAAACATGTTTTCCTGGCCTGATTATGTAATGTGGGATAGGTTGTTTTCTATTTTCTAAGATTCATATGAGCCGTCAGAAACATTTGCAATCTCCAGCCAAACACCAGAAGGTTCCTGATACTCTGAGGAGAGCATAAACCTCAGCATTTGCAGGATTTATCACCAGATCCTAAGGGTTTTGAAGCTGGTGGAATAGTTAAATGCAAAATGCTTTCAGCGCCCATGCCTGCACACAGCTTTGTTGAGACATCACAGTGTATGAATTAGATAGTTTGGAAAGAATAATTCTTAACCTTTTGCAGGGTGGGTGGGGCCCGGAGACGTTTTCATAGCTTATTCTGAGGGACAAAAGCGAGCTGCCCTGGGTGGGTTGGTGAGCAGATGAGCCACAGAGAGGGAGAGACCGCAGGAGACAGCTTCTGTTGGGTGACTGTTCTCACCCCTTTGTTTCAGGTCTCCTCCAGTCACATACGTTTTCCCTGTTAGCATTCAGTGGCATTAAGAGTCCATGAGGAGTGAAGACAGATGGGAGGGGGAGGACGGGGAGGCTGAGCTAAGTGCCCTGCTGGCAGCCTGGCACAGCCTAGGTTAGCAGATTAAAACTCTCACCCACATCTTAGCCTCTCTCACCACAGGACACAAGACGAGGACACTGATTCTATCTCTACCAGGACAGCTGCGTCACCAATTAATTGACTGTGATAAACAGGCAGTGGTGCCTTAGCTCTTTGGCAGAAGGAGAGGAAGTTTGCCTTAGGTCACTTTGGAAGGAGATACGTCAGGAGACAGAGTGTTGTCTCTTGACATTCTGTTACGTGGCGCCCTCCTCGGGGGCACGTCCCAGTGCCTAGTGAGAGGCTGCTGTTCGACACGGGGACCCCAGGTCCAGAGACGCCTTCATAACCACAGGGCACACTGAGCACAGGCCGCCTGCTCTGGGCTGTACTGAAGGCTCTTCTTGGATGCTCTCATTCAGTCTCATAACCATTTTACAGATTTTATAAATGAGGAAGCAGGCTCAGAGGTAATCTGAAACCAGTTTGTGATTCACTTCACAAAGGACAACAAAATGGTGATTGGGGCATTTTTAGTGTAGGGTTGTATCGTTAGCTATTGCTACGAAGAAACTCCAGAATCTCAGGGGCACACAGTGATAAGCATGCATTTTTGCTGACTCTTCTGCAGACCCACGGGGCAGGCTGATCTCAGCCGGGCTCAGCTGTGTGTCTCCAAGCTGCAGGTTTGGTGTGCAGTGTATGCCAAATGTCTTGTATCCTCCTTGGACCAAGCTGTACTCTCAGGGCAACGGCAGAGGCCCAGGTGTGCAAGCAATTCCAAGCCTCTGCCTGCATCCAAGCCCCTGTGATTAACTGGATATCAGTAGATATCCAGTTAACCAATCCAGAAATCAGTAGCTATCCAGTTAATCAAAGCAAACAATTTCACAGAGCCCCAAATCAAGCATCAGAGAAATACGCTTCTCCCACAGAGGTGGCGAGGAGAGAATGAATATTGTTGAACAATAATCTGCCACAAGATTTTTTTTTTTACATTCTAATTCTTTGAAAATGGATCATGTGAGTTTAATATGGTAACTATTTATTAATCAAAATACCGAGTGAGCAAAGGCACCTTATTTGTTCCATAAACTTTTTTTTCTTTTTCTTTTTTCTTTTTTTTTTTTTTTTGAGACTGGAGTCTTGCTCTGTTACCCAGGCTGGAATGTAGTGGCACCATCTCAGCTCGCTCACTGCAGCCTCCATCTCTTGGGTTCAAGCAATTAAGCAATTCTCCTGCCTCAGCCTCCTGAGTAGCCGGGACTACAGGTGCACACCACCACACCCATCTAATATTTTTTATTTTTAGTACAGATGGGGTTTCACTATGTTGGCCAAGCTGGTCTTGAACTCCTGACCTCAGGTGATCCATCTGCCTCGGCCTCCCAAATTGCTGGGATTACAGGCGTGAGCCACCATACCTGGGCTGTTCCATAAACATTTATAAAGGGTCCATTTTATGCCAGATGCTGTGGCCAGTTATAGGGATCGAGAAATGGAAGGGACTGCTGGCCTTGTTGGGGCATTAGACACATACACAATTTCA